CTGTCGACGAAGGCGTGATCTTTTATTTATTTAGTCATTTATCAGACGCTTTTATCCAAAGCGACTTACAAATGAGGACAACAGAAGCAATCAATTGTAGTATTAAAACAACTAAAAACAGATCCAAAACTAAAAGCTAAAACTTTATCAATACTACCTATACACAGTTTAAAAATAAAGAGATTAAATAAAAATGACAAATGCATACAACAAAATTTCATAAAGCTAAAAACAATTAAAAATAGTGAAGAACAAAAGGTATAAGAGTATAATAACGATTCTAACAGAACACTAAGCCAAACACCAAAAAAAAAATGTGTATGTACAACCACACACACACACACACACACACACACACACACACATATATATATATACACACACACATTTATAAATTCAATATATATATTATTTCATTTCCATTTTGTTTGTTGAAGTATTAAAATAACTCAAATTAAATAAAACTAAAAACTTAAAAGACCTATACAGACATAATAAATTCAGACAATTTAACAAATTAAAATAACAAATACAAATAATGCAAATCAAATGACAGTAGTTTATCAGTAATCCTAAAAAATCAGTGATCTACTAGCAGCTGACCGACGCCTCCTCTGAGCTGTTGATCCAATCAACGTTAAAACGCCGATGAAAGCGGTAAGAATAACGTGAAACATTGCTGATGTTCGCGCAGTAGTGAGGGCTCTTTACATTTGGGCGCTGTTGTGAAGACGCATGTCACGTGACAACATCAACATGGCGGATGTAGTAGGTCCGAATTCCATTCATACTACTCGCATTCATACTATATAGAACGTACTTTTTTAACGGTCGAGTAGTACGTTCAAATTTCAAATATAGTACCTACTAAGCAGTATGCGATTTCGGACGCACCCTATGTCTTTTGAATTAAAGTATGCAGTGAACTCTGTTGCCTTGAAACTCATGTGTCACGGACATGCCAGTCTCTTTCACCTATCAGCGCTCACAATCACCAGAATACTAATCACACACACCTGACTGTCATTCATCAATCACCCACACAGCACTATAAGAACACACAGTTCACACAGCCACATCGTCTGGTCTCCCATGTGGAAAAGGACTCGAACCTATGCAGTATTACTTATCTGTTGATGTGCGTGTGCGTGTGCGGACAGATTTCAAAGAGCAATGAGGACCCTCTGGTATGGGAGGACAGTTGGCTGTCCTCATAAAAAATAAACCTTTTCTCAGCATGTTTTAATACCCAAAAAGTGGTTTTCTCAAAAGTCTTTGTGTACCAAAAACTTGACATATGTTGTATATTTGTGTGTCCGCCACTGCCCCCTATCTGTTATCGTGGTCCCTGCATGCAGCGACACACAGGCGCGGGAAATTATACACAACGCGCGAAATTAGACGCTAATTCAACACTGCATGCTCATATTAGCATTACTCATTTTAATTGGCTGGATGGGAGAGAGCTTCGTCTGTCAACAGCTGATTCATTTTCCCGGGAGTTCTGGAAAAGCACGTTGTGGAGAACAGGTAAGAAATCAATTACAAAACGTTTTAATAGGTTCGAATGAAGTATAGGTATGGTATTTAGCAGACGCTTTTGTCCAAAGCGACATACAAATAACAACAATACAAAGTTGAACTTAACAGTAAAACGGGTCATTCCACGAAATCAGGGCCTTTTCAGCTTTGGCAAATTAAAAAATAAAATAAGTTTAATCGATTTGTTTTAAATATCCATGAAATGAAGACAGCTTAAAAGGACAAGAAATTGTATTGTGCCATCTCAGGCTATGTATTTTTTTATTTTATGAGTACTTATCATGTTTTGATATTTTTGTCATGCCTGTTACAGACACATGCGTTATTATACAATAGTTTAAACCTGTATGAGCAGTATTTTAGTCCCTCTTTTCACTGGGATTTTCAAATTTTGGATTTTTTTTTTCAATCTTACATTTGTCATTCAAATGACCAAGAACTTACAAATTTTGGAGGGTGATCACATGTCAATTAAGAAAAATATATATTTTTACAAGAGAGATATTAAAAGGGATTTGTCAAAAATACAATATAGAGAGGGTTACAATGGAAAAACTTGGAAGGCCATTACAAATATAATTTTTATACTTTTTATGAAATTAATGACCGTAACAGGACTGACAAGAGTAACAGGGATGACATGATGCATTCTTCAGTATACTCTGCTCATATTTGTTTACATAATATTGTAAAGTTTTACCTTTTTAAATTGCATTATATTGTTTTGCACTCTTATAGTTGTATTAGTGAAGTATTGTATTACATTTCTAAGAGATCTAAAGCCCGGTTTCACAGACAGGGTTTAGACTAAGTCAGGGTTAGGCCTTAGTTCAATTAGGACATTTAAGTAGCTTTTATAAACGTGCCTTAGAAAAATACATTACTGGTGTGCATCTTGAGACAAAACAATGACACTGACATATTTTAAGATCTGTCAGTGCAAGTTGCTTTCAGTTAAAACAGCTCAGACATGCATTTTAGTCTGGGACTAGCTTAAGCCTAGTCTGTGAAACCGGGAGCTAATGTTTTAGGGTATTGAAATTAGACCCTTGTGTCCATCTGTTTGTCTGTGTATGTCCCCTCACAGAACTTAAAATATATTGATATACTGACAGCAGGGAAATGTTATGAAAGCATAGAACTCAATTGAAACTGTTTGAATATCCATGCTATTAGTGAGATGAAAAGTAGTGAAGTTGTGTTGTTGTTTACATTTTTGTAAAGAGTGAAAAACACTGTAGTGGCAGATACTATGACATACCACGCAAGTGAGTTTGCAAGCTGAGGCATATGGCAGAGAACAGAGAGCATACTGCAAACTAGTCGCCTTTTGGCAAAATTTACCATTTTGGAATCAAAATAGGCCATTGACGTGAAGCGAAGGAGTTTTTTTATTTTGGGGTGGGGAGGGGGGGTCGGTGAGTCGGAGAAGCCGCATCACAAATCTATCACGCAGGGTTTCCCTATCCCTGGAGACATTCACCTTTGGATGTTGAACAAGTTCTTAATTCCTTTGCTATTATCATTTATATTATTAGGCTATCTATATTGTCCTATTTCTCTTTGTTGATTAGACTTAGTCCTAAGTTAGGCTACAACCTTAAATCCTCGCAAATGTTTCACTCTTTCATTCGGTTCGTTGCAGCTCGGCTAAATGCATCTTTCATGGACTTTATTCATTTGCAATGTTAACCCAATTGCACAATAAGCGAAACACCAGTTTGAATTGTTGTATAGACGAATTTCAACATGCTCATATTTGCGATGTTACCAATGCAAAAACCTCAGTTCTTGGTTTGATCCACTATGTGAACATAGGGCAATGTTTGTGCTGCTCCATTAGCATTTTTAAAGATTAGCTTGGCTGAAAAGTGTATATAAAAGCTTGGCTGATAAATATACTGTATATAAAAGTCACGATGAACAAAAACTTTAGGCCTAATAAATCCAGACCTGATTCAATAGAGCCACCAAGCAATTGGCAATCCAAATGCTTGAAGGTGTCTCCACACCTTTTCAATTACTTTTTGAAAGAATTCCTTTTATTCTCACAAGCCTTATTAATTAATGTAGGATAAACATTTCAGCATTTCTGTTCCACATTAGACCATTCTGCCAGAAGTTTTTGGGCCAAGGATGCATTCTGAAACATAGCCTATATGGCCTCACACCTTGCATATTACACATTAAAAAAAGAATGTGTTTGGTCAGGTCAGGCTACTAATGTGTCTGTTTTTGCAATAACAGTGTTTTATAATCTGAATCTCAAATCTCTTGATTGTTAGGACGATGCTATACATCATAATTGTAAGTTTAAATCTGTTTGTATCTGTCTGGAAATCCCATCAGAATGCACCATTTGAACAGTAATTTTTCAAAAAATTCTGCTTTTCATTCTGAACTCACTTTATGCTTTAGTTTTCAGTTCACTTTATGCTTATGTTTAGTGGTGTTAGTGAATTTAATGTGTGATGTGTGGGATCACTACATACTTTTTTTAACTTTGACTTTGAATGGGTAATGTAAATGCTCTGCCACTCCAGTGAATTCTACCTTAATGGTCGAAACCTGTGTACATTTGTCTAAATGGAAAATGTTAGCCATCACTCAAACTGTGCATTTGTACTGAACCGTTGCATTTCTTGATTTTGTATGTTTCATAAGTGTGAAGCTGTTTGCATTTAATAAGAAAATGAGTATGTAATTAGTCAGCATGGGAAACTGATTAATTGTTGTCTAACGCTGTGGTTTGCTTAATTTTGTCTGTGAAGAATGCTGTGGTGTGTGGCATAAAATCTGCCTCCAGAAATCCTCAGAAGACTGGGATATATCTGATGTAAGTGTACATTGAAGTATAATATGCTTAATATCAATATGATGGCTCTTAGCAGTTTGTTTTTGACATTCATCCTTCCCTTCCTTGTGTATTTCTGTTACTTAAAGTATGCTGTATTTAATTAATTTAATTAATTAATTAATTAATTTAATGTACTTTACAGGATGATGTCTCATCTGATGACGAGTACATCCCAGAGTCTGTATCGGATTCAGAAAGCTCAGAGACAGAGTTGACTGTTGAGTTGCCTGAACCACCCAAAAAGTCCCATACCACTAATATGCCTGATTTAGGCGTTACTTTTGCTGAACAAGAACAGACCATAGATATACAGGACAACTGTAAGAATATCCTGATGGATCTAGAAACTACTGGTGATCTCCAAAGTGACCCCGAACCAGAACCAGAAAGCTCAGAGTCATACCAGCAGAAAACAAAAGATGCGAGTAACGAAAAGGGTACTGTGGATATTCTTGGCCAAAGTAAATCCCCAACCAAATCAGCAAAATTCCTTAAAAGCCAAGTTAATTATTGTTTTGTATGTGGAAAACCTAAAACAAAATTTGCACGTCATCTCTAGAGGCATGTAAATGTAAATGCTGAAATCGCACAGGCACTCCAGTTCCCCAAATCATCAAAGGACAGAAAGGTTCTTCTTGAGAAATTCCGAAACCTTGGCAACTTCAAGCACAACTCAATTGTTAAAACCACAGGATCAGGCTGTCTTAAAGTGAAAAGGAGTTCCAAACAGAGCAGCAGCCCTGAGACGTATGATTACTGCTTGTACTGTAAGGGTATGTTATCCAGAAAATAACTTTCTCGACATATGAAAAGATGTGCTCTCAGACCAGAGAATAATGTTGAAGAGGGGCCTGAGTTGAGAGAGAGAGTCTTTGGTATAGCATCTGCTCAATCCACAATGTCCCAGCCAATTTCAAGTGAACTTTGGTCAGTGCTGGGCAAAATGCACAAGGATAACGTGTCCACTGCAATAAGGAATGATCATTATCTCATGCAGTTTGCCCAGTCCCTCTTTAATAAGCATGGGAGTGACAGATCAAAGCATGAGTATATAAGGCAGAAAGTAAGGGAACTTGGGAGATTACTTGTGACTTTGCGCCACACAACAAGAATCCGTAACATGGAAGAGGCAATAAAACCAGGCAACTTCTTTATTCTTACTAGTGCTGTCAGGAGAGTTTCAGGTTTTGATCACGAAAACAGCACATTCAAAGCCCCAAGTTTGGCCCTGAAAATTGGGCATTCTCTCAGAAAGATAAGTGACCTCATTATGTGTCGTGCTCGCATGGAAGAGGACCAAGAGGTGATCGATTCCATCAGGAGGTTTCATACACTTCATGAAACAAAGTGGTCTGAATTAGTTTCCCATTCTGCCTTATCAAACCTGAGTGAGGCAAAATACAACAAGAGCACCAGGCTTCCACTGGCCAAAGACGTTCAGAAGCTACAGTTATATCTTGGTCAGCAAGTGGAATTGACTAAGGAGAAACTAGCCGATGACCCAACAGCAGGCACTTATGCAGCACTAGCAAAGGTGACCCTCTGTCGAGTCATTTTGTTTAATAGGAGGAGGGAAGGTGAAGTGGCACGGATGACTGTAAAAAAATTTGAAGATCGTGACATGTCCCAACTAAACGATGACATAAGCACTGGGCTTACAGAAGTTGAGAAGAGACTTTGCAAACAATTCGCCAGAGTGGAACTGAGGGGGGGAAAAGGACGAAAGGTTGCTGTGATCCTGACTTCTGATATGACTGCTAACCTGTCACTCCTCATTAGTAAGAGGAAAGAGTGTGGAGTAACTGAAAACAACAATTACCTCTTCGCTATTCCTTTTAGTGATGGTCACTACAGAGGGCAGTTTGGTCAATTTGCAGATGCTTGTGGAGCCGAAGATCCTCAAAACCTCAGATCAACTAACCTTCGCAAACAGATTGCCACAATAAGCCAAGTTATGAACTTGAAAGATAATGAACTGGACCAGCTGGCCGATTTTCTCGGCCATGACATTAGGGTGGATAGGGAGTACTATCGACTGCCCCAATCAACAATTCAGCTGGCTAAGATCTCAGAGCTGCTTATGGCTATGGAGAAGGGAAGTGTGAAGGATATTCAAGGAAAATCTCTGGACGAAATTGGTGGTATGCATCATTTACATGTTGTTAAATCTACTTGGTGTATGTGTATATGGTTGGTGTAATAACATTTAATAACATTTTTACAATGCAATTTAATAGATGACAGACGATATGGATCATAACATATCACATGTAATGAGCTGGGATCTGTGGGTTCATTAGAGTATATTAAAAATGTTTTAGTCAGGAATTTTCCAGTAGTACGTTGGTTAGAAACTTTGTTAGAAGCTTAACTTTTTGTCATCTCTCTTCATTGTGACTAGGGATGGAACGGTATGAAAATTTCATATCATGATTATCAATATTATCACGGTTTTGTTAAAATGAGATGAAAGTGTTCAAAAAGAACAGATGCACACACTGAAAACATTTCAACAAGTTTTATATTTCAAAATCAACAAACAACAAATAAATCAAGCAGCTCTATGCACTTTTTTAACCACTTAACCACAGGGCGTTTTTTGGAATTTTCGCCTAAATTTTTTATACTCAAATTCAAATGTTTGCCCTACACACATACAATGGAGGAAATCTTTTGTCCAGCTTAAGTAAATTCAGTATTGATTCGTTCGGTTGTAAAAAATCAATAATTAGTTCATTTATCTATATATCAGCACTGTAAAAATAAAAACAGTGATGTCATTGTCCAGCACAGTCCTGTTCGCATACAATGGTGTCAATGCAGGCAGATAAAAACATTGTTGAATATCCAGTGAATTGCGCAATAATGCATTATAACAGCGCATAATCCACGTATCACAACGGACACGCTCTCTCGTTTCATTAATGCCACTTGCGTCTCTGTTTTTCATTGTATTGAAAATGAAATCAGACTTTACTATTAATACTACTATAATTATTACTACAACTTGTTGTGATCATCTTGTCTGGACGATTGTTTTGTACACTGTACAAAATGGATTTATAAGCAGGTTAGATTTAAAACATTAATCTCAATTCAATATGTCCCCGTAATTATTTATGTGGTAAAAAAATCTGTGTAATAAGTGCACAATGAATATTATTATCCCTTAAATGTCACCCTAGTCTTGTCTGAACTTGGTTTTATAATCCATGTGTCCAAGTTCGTCTTTGGCTTAAAGCCACTTGCTGCGAACTTTTCTTCGTGGAAGCTTCACGTTATTATTTCCCAGATGTAATTTTAGTATTGAGGTCAAAGTCCACTTGCCTTGTGTTTGCCCCTATAGCAGCGACTTTCTTCTTGCATGTTCTGCAGACAGGGTGATCATACTCTATTAAGTTTCCCTCAGGACTTTTGTAAAAGCCAAAATATGACCACACCTCAGATTTGGTCCTTTTAGAAGACTGAAATCTCCTGGCGCTGTCACTGCCTTCTGCCATTTCTTCTCATTCAAAAAACAACGTTGCGCGCTGCGTCTGCATCAGACTGATGCTGGCTGGGTAGAATTTACTGCAAGTTTTCAAAATCATGATAATCAAACACTGTTTTAATGATAATTAAATTTTAAACAATATTTCTAACCTTCAGTACATTTTACCGTGGTTTATCGTGAAACCGGTAATCGTTCCATCCCTAATTGTGACGCATATGCTTTGTGGCTAGTATTTTGATGTGTTCAGTAGTTTGCATGATCATTTTAAAACAACAGGGAAGACTTGGCCTGTTTAAAATCTACATCATTTCCGAGTAAAATTATCACTCAAGGTATTGTTGCACATATTCACGTTCTCCTGACTTCATCCGGTTCAACAACTTTGCCATGAGTATAGTTATTATAATAGAATTGGCTATCTGCAGTTTTACATGTATCCCCTCCATGCCCATGGTGTTTGATTGGTAGGCAGACAGGCTCTATAAGCCCATACATTTATTTTGTGCAATATTTTTTTTAGAGGACCAGGGGAACGCTGCCTGTGTAACTTCTGGTTCACCTCATCTCCCTGACTCGGTTACTCAAGGTATTATTTAAATGCGGTGCCATGTCCATCACTAGGCACACTTGCTAATGTGCAGTCAACACTTACATTATGTTTGGTTAGACATATAAAGCATATAAAGAAGCTGGATGTATTTTGTTTTTAACAAGCAGTGTAATGAAATGTCATGTTAATGAAAACAATCAAACTTGATTTTTAGCAGATCAAGCTAAAGTCAATTTATTATCACACACATTTTGTTTACACAAGTTCCAGCTTGTTTGGCAATTTTGAACAGCAACATGCCTACCTGCAAGTACATCTCGCAGGATCTTTTATAATCTTCTAATCTTTTTTTTAATTGTTCAGGTTTCCGTGTTTCATCAAGGCGGTGTGTGAAGAGACCATGGTCTGTGGAGGAGATACAAGCTGTGATGAAACATATGAGGCCTTTTATTTAAAAACGGTGTCACTGTCACCAGTGAGCAGTGCCTGAAGTGCAAGGAAAAGGAACAACCTATCTTGGAGACAAGATCCATTCAAAACAGAGATTTTGTACGCAACTGTAAGGGTTCTTCCATAAAATTTTCAGGGGGCATTCATAGAGTCTTCAAATTTCCATTTTATTACCTGCCACACTCATGTACGGATCACAAAGGTGCAGGAAAACCAAGAGAACAAAAACTAATTGATACATGCAATATCAGCACATTACTCCGTTCTGGGCCTCAGATGTTTCTCCAGGGATCCCTCACTAGAACTAACCTCAGCCATAGGAAAATCACACCCTTTTAACAAACAGATCAAACCATTTTATAATTACAAGGGGTCCCAATTCGATACATCAAATCGTATATCAAAAATAAATATATACAAAAACTATAAACATAAGAAATTCCATTCCCCATAAAGCAATAATAAAATAAACTGGAAAGAATGCCCTTTATAATAACACATTCAAATGAACAAACAATCCAAACCCATATGGTACCCAAACTACATTTCCCATAATTCCTAGCAAAGGATATAAAAAGACATCAGGAAATGCCGTGCCCTTTTAATAACACGCCTTTGTTCCATGCTGCAGTCATGGATTCTGGCAGAATCACGGGTAAGATACACAATCATTCAAACAATTAAATAAAGAAAATATTAACCCAAATCTTGTCTAGCTGTGGTTTTATTCAATTAACTAGCGTGCACTCTAGTAATGAATTGTTGTCTCGCTCTTTGATCTTTAATGCGCACATAAGAGACAACATGCACCACTAACACAATGTTTTGGGTAAATCATGTTAAAGAGACAACATAACTACATATAAATTTATAAACGAGCAAACAAACAATCCCTTAAACAAACCAAAATCAATTTCTCCTACAAAGAAATGAAATTAATTAAAAAGAAAACTAAAACGATTGAAATGAACTAGCCCAATTATTAAGTGTGGCCTTAGCCATCACATTTCCCCCCACCTATGCATTCTCGCACGGTGAGCGAGAAAGAAAATCGGCCGCAATATTTTCGTCCCCCGGACGATGCTTCACTGTAAAGCGGAAGGGTTGTATAGACAAAAACCATCGTGTCAAGCGAGAATTTGTATCTTTCATCCTATTCAACCATTTCAGAGCTTTATGATCCGTTTCGATAATGAAATCTCGGCCCAGCAAATAATATTTCAGCGAGTCAAGAGCCCATTTCAAAGCTAAACATTCTTTCTCCACCACAGAATACCTAGTTTCTCTGGGAAATAATTTCCGACTCAAATGCACCACAGGATGCCTTCTTCCATTCTCTTCCTGCATCAGGACCGCTCTTAAACCTAATTCAGACGCATCTGTTTGAAGTACAAATGACTTTTCAAAATCAGGGCTACGCAAAATAGGTTCATTGCTCAGCACCCCTTTTAACTCAAAGAATGCTTTTTCTGTGGGTACAGTCCATTGCACTTTGTTGGGATTCATCTTTTTAATTAAATCCATTAACGGTGCCGCGATGGTCGAGAAATGGGGAATAAATTTCCGATACCAGCCAACCACACCAAGAAACGATCGAATTTGTTTCTTTGTAGCTGGAAGTGGACAAGACTGAATCGCCCGTACTTTCTGCACTTGCGGCTTAATTACTCCATTCCCCAATGTGTACCCCAAATACTCCGTCTCGGTTTTAACTAAGGAACATTTTGCGGGGTTAATGGTTAAACCGGCATCTTTAATTCGTTGGAAGACTGTTTGAAGATGGTGAAGATGATTCTCCCACGAGGTGCTGAATATCACCACATCGTCTAAATAAGCCGCCGCAAATTCTCCTAAACCATCCAATACCATATCCATCAATCTTTGGAAAGTCGGGGGTGCTCCGTGGAGCCCAAACGGTAACACCCGAAAATGCATTAGCCCCCTTGGTGTACGGAAAGCGGTCAACTCTCGAGACTCCAAGTCCAGAGGCACCTGCCAGTACCCTTTACTTAAATCGATGGTACTGATAAATTTAGCCTTGCCCAGCTTTTCAATTAACTCCTCAATACGAGGCATAGGATATGAATCGAATTTAGAGACAGAATTTAAATAACGAAAATCGATACAAAACCTGAGGGTATTATCTTTTTTTGGCACCAATGCCACCGGATTACACCATTCACTCTTTGATGGTTCCACTATCCCCATTTGTTGCATCAATGTTACTTCATCTTCAAAAGCAGTCAGCAAGCATTCAGGGATGCGGTAACTCATTCGTTTCGGCTGAGCCTTTTCTTTAAGCACAATTCTATGCTTTATCAGTGTGGTGTAGACTGGTTGATTTTTAAACAACTCTGGATCACATAATTGCTGAAGTTGATGTAGCGTCTCGACCAATCTGACACACTAATTTTTATTTGA